CTTGCACATCCCGGAGAACCCACGGATAACCGAAGCCGTGGCTAATGGCTGAACCGTGTCACGGTTTTCGTCGGAGCGTGCGGGTCCGGCCGGCAGGTTCGCGCCTGCACACCCGCACTCGGGAGGACTCGGTTCAATTGGCACGCATATTGGAATTCTATTACCGGGATTACGGCCGGTAATTGCTCGGTTTAGCGCAATATCGCACAGCCGTCTGTGCACGCCGTCGAGCCACGTCGCGACGCTCCGGCGGGCCAACGGCGAACGGCCGGCGCGCGGATTAGCCGCGCGCGTTTGATCCCTCGTTACGACCGAGAATTAATTGCTGGTAAATACCAAAAATGTTAATTCTTTATTGCATTCTGTTATATAATTATGGTAAACGTGTTTTTTTTTAAATACTTTAAGCACCGTCATCAAAAACGAATGATTGTTTTAGATACATCTGTAAATATTTAATTTCATTACTTTATCTCACCGCAAATTCGCAAAATATTTTGCACTTGTATTCCTAAAACTTTAGATTTGCTTTAAAAGAATTAACTAATGGATTAACAGTCTAAATTTAAACCGTCTATATGCTTGCGCTTCTCGATGTTCGATTTCGATCGAATCGCGTTTGAAATGCGCAGCATCTCAAGGATTGAACGACTTGAGCTGCTTACGATGTACATCCTTTGTGGATTTCAATTAGGCGAATCGCAATTGCTAAGACGGTTCGAGATAGCTTTGGCAAGTGAAAGCATTAATTAATTGATGCGATGGAATAACGCGGATTAAATAATGCGGATCCTTGCGGTTATTCGTGTATGAGTCAAAGGATCAGTATTTATGAGAGCTGATGTTTTCTAGACATAATTCTAGACATCCTTTATCATATATAAATTTATATTAATATGAAATATGACGTTTAGGTGTATAATTTCGAACTAAATATATCTCACAACTTACATATTTTCAAACAAATTTTTCTTTAGATAGATAGTACAAAGTTGTGCATTTAATATCGCTTTTTACATATTTTTTCGCATCGACAGTTATGTCGGGCATTATTATGCACAATATATTGGTAAAAATTTTTCGAGGCATAAACGTTTGCTATATTATATTTTACAATCCTGCAGTTTAACATTTGCATCAGGTATTTTTTCCAGTTTTATACAGAAATCACAAGTGGAGAGATTTTTTTTAAAGTCAGTCAGAGACGGAGACGATGGTGGATGAAATCGCTGACGTTCCCGATCGTCCAGAATAAGGATACAATTCTTAAAAAGCGCGGCAGGATTTTTAGAGATTCTCTTCACCGATGCGGTACGAGATTATATAAAATGTTTCTACATAACCGAGAACTCTACCGCAGCTCTCCGCTTTGCCTCGGTGTCGGGAAAAAAAGCGCTTACCCAACAGATTCACGCTGGCTAAAGCCCTCCTTTCTCTCGTATTTTTTCGCCGCTTGAGTTTTATCTGATAACGGCAAAAATATTTTTCGGCCTCGCCCGTGGAAGGTGATACACGATCTTTTGTTGTCACAGCAGAAAGCCGAAGCAATAAATACCGATATGAATTCTGACCATCTCTATATATATTTTTACGATTAACTGGTCGTAGTTTGTGATTCTTTTTTTAACGAAATTATTTGTGCGGAATGTACTGCAGTCCAGCATTATTTTTTTTTTATTTATTTTTTTGATATTTTACAAATAAGGATTGATATTTTAGATTTTCTTTTAAGAACATTTAAAATAATTAATTGTTTGTTCTTTTAAGAAAATTTAAAATAATTATTTTTAAAATAATTAGTTAATTGAATTTTTGTTTACACATATGAATATATATGCTTTTAATCAGTTTAGTTATATCCAAAAGCTATTGTAATTCCCGCCGCATTTTGGTAAATATTTTAATCACGTGATTACGTTGATCACTATACGGATATAATTTCACGAGGGTTACTAACTTGTCTATCAGTTGGTAGTATGTTAACGGTGGCGCTGGACGCGCACAAATATCGTTTTGCGTTTCTCGCGCGTTTTTTCGCGTTCAAGTGAATTCCACGCGCAACAAATGTCGGCAGTGTCGAATGTGTGAATGATGAATGATCGTCGTGAAGAGTTATTTTGTACGTATAGTCAGAATTACTATTCTTTTGGCATTGATAAAGCCAGTTGCGTCTGTCGCGTCATTGCTCGTGAAATCTTTGTGGGCATCGAACTGACATCTGTAGAATATCGAATTGATTGACGGGTAATTATGGTGCAGTTTTATTTAATTCTTAAATTTTTACGCATATAGTTGCGATTATCAGTTTTCCGGTATTCGTAAAATCAATCTATTGTATCGTATCGGATATTGCTCATCGTATCTTTAGGCATCGAGAAGTTGCCGCCGCCTTACGGTTTTCTCGTGACGTATACGTGACGTCACTATGCTCGTCGAATTCGCAAATGGCGGCGGACAATTGCGCGGGTTGAATGTAAG